GAAAGAGAGAAATGTTCTGAGATGTATCTGTTGATTCACCCCTTTCACTAATTCTGGAGATAAGAGTTTCCTGGAAATGCCCATGGGGAAATACGGCTAAGAATTTATTCAATAGTTGCTTAGGCTTCTATTTTCAGACCTCTTAATTTTAAATTCGAAGTCTCTTCTAGAAGACTTTCTCAATCTTGTTGTTTATGGAGAACAGATCTCTATTATTATGGGCTGAGATTAACAAAGTTACTTTGCAAATAAAGGTCAATTCTGAATTCAGCTCTTTCAGACAGAAGGACCAGAGCATATTTGACCTCTTCAGGGAGCTCCTTGGAGGAATCCCCTGGGCAAGGGTCCTAGGAGGAAAGGGGGTCCAGGAGAGTTGGCTAATATTCAACCATTTTCTCCAAGCTCAGGATCGGTGCATTCCTATAAGAAAGAAGTCGGGCAAGGTGGGCAGGAGACCTGCCTGGATGGGCAACAAGCTGTTGGGTAAACTTAATGAGAAATAGAGCATGTACATAATGTGGCCAGGCCACATGGGAAGAATATAGGAACATTGTCAGAGAATGCAGGGATGCAAAGAGGAAGGCCAAGGCCCGTTTGGAATTAGAGTTAGCGAGAGATGTCAGGGGCAAAAGGCAGGGCTTCTACAAATACATCAGCAGCAAGAGGAAGACTTGGGAAAATGTTAGTCCTCTGCTGAATGGGGAGGGTGCCTTGGTGGCGGAGGATGCAGAGAAGGCAGTTACTAAATGCCTTCTTTGCTTCTGTCTTTACTGCTAAGGCCAGTCCCCATGAACTACAGAGCCCAGAGACAAGAGAGAGAATTAGGAGAGAGGAGGACTTTCCGATGGACGAGGAGGGCTGGGTTAGGGATTATTTAGGAAACTGGACGCCCATAAATCTATTGGCCCAGATGGGATGCACCCAAGAGTGCTGAGGGAACTGGCAGGGGTCATTGCTCAGCTGCTCTCCCACCCCATCGTCTTTGAGAGGTCATGGAGGACTGGAAGAAAGCTAATGTCACTCCAGTCTTCAAGGAAGACAAGAGGGAGGAGCTGGGAAACTACAGGCCTGTCAGCCTCACCTCCATCCCTGGAAAAGTGATGGAGCAGCTCATCTTAGAGACCATCGCTAGGTATGTCAAGGAAAAGAAGGTGATAAGGAGTAGCCAGCATGGATTCACCAAGGTTAAGTCGTGTCTGATGAATATGATAGCCTTCTACAATGAGGTGACTGGCTGGATGGACAATGGGAGAGATGTGCATGTTGTCCACCTTGACTTCAGCAAGGCTTTTGACACTGTCCCCCATAACATCCTCATAGGGAAGCTCTGGAAGTGTGGACTGGATGAGCGGATAGTGAGGTGGATTGGGGACTGGCTGATCAGTAGAGCCCAGAGCATGGTGATAAATGGGGACGAGTCTGGTTGGAGGCCTGTGGCCAGTGGTGTCCCGCAAGGGTCAGTACTGTGTCCAGTGCTCTCCAACTTGTTCATCAATGACTTGGACGAGGGCACAGAGTGCACCCTCAGCAATTTTGCAGATGACACCAAACTGAGAGGAGTGGCCAACACTCCCAAGGGCTGTGCTGCCATTCAGAGAGACCTAGACAAGCTGGACAGTTGGGCAGAGAGGAACCTTATGAGGCTCAACAAGGACAAGTGCAGGGTCCTTCACCTGGGGAGGAATAACCCCAGACACCAGTACAGATTAGGGGTTGACCTGCTGGAAAGCACCTCTGTGGAGAGGGATTTGGGAGTCCTGGTTGACAAGTTAACCATGAGTCAGCAATGTGCCCTCGTGGACAAAAAGGCCAATGGGATCCTGGCCTGCATCAGGAGGAGTGTTGCCAGCAGGTCAAGAGAGGGGATCCTCCCCTTCTACTCAGCTCTGGTGGGGTGACACCTGGAGTATTGGGTGCAGTTCTGGGCTACCCAGTACAAGAGGGACGTGGAGCTTCTAGACAGGGTCCAGGGGAGAGCCACAAAGATGATTAAGGGACTGGAGCATTTGTCATATGAGGAAAGACTAAGCGAGCTGGGCCCATTTAGTCTGGAGAAGAGAAGGCTGAGAGGAGATTTGATCAACACGTTCAAGTACCTGAGGGTTGATTGTAGGGAGGATGGGCCCAGGCTCTTCTCCGTGGTGGCCAGTGACAGGACGAGGGGTAACGGGAGTAAGCTGAAACATAAGAAGTTTAATCTCCATATGAGGAAGAACTTCTTTACTGTGAGGATGACAGAGCCCTGGAACAGGCTGCCCAGAGAGGTTGTGGAGTTTCCTTCTCTGAAGATCTTCAAAACCTGCCTGGATGCCACCCTGTGCCACGTGCTCTGGGTGTCCCTGCTTGTGCAGAGGAGGTTGGACTAGATGATCTCTACAGGTCCTTTCCAATCTTAACCATTCTGTGTTTCTATGATTCTGTGATTCTGTGATTTATATTGAGCAACAAGCTGTACAGAATATTAAAATTATAAAATGTGAGGCTCCACCATGTAGTTACCAGCATAGATTTGGAAAATAGCTCAGTTACCACTAAGTCACCAAATTAAGGATATTACTATGCTAACTTTAGAACACCACACTGAAGGTGAGTGAAAAACTTCTTCTTGTCTTCATATCTGTTCTACCATTACCATCCAATAGCAGAGGTGGAAGAAAGGATTGTGTGTTAGAACATAAGTAACATTGTTTGAATATTCAGTGTTTTGGCTTAAAACTTAAGTACTCTTAAAAATTCATTGAAGGAAAAAATAGCTGCCAAATTTGTAAGCAAACCACGCTAATCTTTATTTACTAGTACAGGAAACAAGAGTAGTCAAAATGTTTTTAATAGACTTCAGAGTAGACTAATAGTCTGAAAAATCTTGTTTGCCAGTGCTCTGGGGTGGTACTGAGTTGAGGACAGTGTAGTCAACAACATCAAAACCATGGCTCAAATCTTTCTTTTCTTTCTCAATACTAAGAAGATCAACAGCACATTGGGCTGCATTGAGAAGAGTGATACCGACAGCTGAGGCAGGTGATCCTACTCGGCCCTGGTGAGGCCACATCTGGAGTGCTGGGCTCCCCAGTACAAGAGAGACACGGACATGCTGGGGCAAGTCCATCAAAGAGCCACAAAGACGATTAAGGGACTGGTTCATCTCTCATATGAGGAAAGCCTGAGAGAGCTGGGACTGTTCCATCTCGAGAAGAGAAGACTGAGAGGACATCTGCTCAATGAGTGTAAATGACTGTGGATGGGGAGGAATAAAGAAGTCAGAGCCAGACTCCTCTCAGTGGTCCCAGTGACCGGACAAGGGACAGTCAGCACAAGCTGAAATACAGGAAGTTACATTTAAACTTAAGGAAGGCCTTCTTGCCCTCTCCTCTCCTCTCCTCTCCTCTCCTCTCCTCTCCTCTCCT